AGTGAGAAGGGAAATCGCATGGAAATGGAAGGCGATCCTCAGGGTTATACAAAATGACATATTTATTGTAGAGTAGTATTCCCTAATATGGGTACAGGAGTTTGTTTTTTGATCTCCAGTTAAGGGATATTTGGCTTTTTTTTTTTTTTTTTTTGTACCAGGGATGGAACTCAGGGGCACTCGACCCCTGAGCCACATCCTCAGCCCTTTTATGTATTTAATTTAGAGACAGGGTTTCACTGAGTTGCTTAGCACCTCACTTTTGCTGAGGATGACTTTTAACTCACAACACTCCTGTCTCAGCCTCCTGAGCCACCTGGATTACAGGCGTGCACCACCACGCCTGGCAATATTTGGGCTTTTTGACTTTGCAAAATTAATAGTTTTAGTATTACATGTCTTTTTCCCATCCTGTTTTCAGAGTTCTGTGAGGTATGCTTTATGTATCTTATTTTTTAAAAAACTGCCATATCATGTTTCAAAGCAGTGGCCRTATTTTGCATTACTACATTGTCTGAGGACACTAATTGCTCTGCACTCTTYTCCACACTTGATGTTAACCTTTTTCATTTAAGCCATTCTAATAGATATGTAGTTCAATCTTACTGTGGTTTTAACTTGCATTTCCTTAGTTACTAGTAATAGAGCATAATACCACATGATTTTTTTAAGAGAGAGAATAGAGAGAATTTTTTAATATTTATTTTTTAGTTTTTGGTGGACACAACATCTTTATTTTTATGTGATGCTGAGGACAATCTCCATGTTTTAATTGGTATGTTAAGAAAATTTATATTTGATATAATTTTTTAGACCATGGATTTATACTTACCATCATGCTAAATGCCAATTGTTTGCTGCTTTTTTTTTTTTTTTTTTTAGTACTGGGGATTGAAGCCAGTACTGGGTGCTGGGCCACTGAGACACATCCCCAGCCCTTTTTATTTTTTAAGACAGGGTCTCACTAAGTTTACAAGACTGGCCTCAAATTTGCAATTCTCCTGCCTCAGCCTCAAGAGTTGCAGAGATCACAGGTGTGCATCATAATGTCCAGCATGCCAATTATTTTTTATCTGTACCATGTGTTATTTGTTCAATTCTGTCTGCATTTGTTTTATGTGATTTTTATGTTTCCATTTTTGTCTCCACTATTGACTTGTAATTTTGCCACTTAAAATTTCTAAATGGTTGCTCKATGGCTTCAAACATGCATTTATAATTTTACAGTCTACTTTCAAGGGACAAAAATTCATGACAGAGTATGAMAATATGCTTCCAATTTCTATCTGTCCTGTTTTGTGATATTGCTAAATCTTACTTTTATACATTATAAACTCATAATACCTTGTTCCTATTTTCTCTTAACTAGCAAGTGTTAAAATTTATAAAATTTTAAAAAATATTTACTTTCATTTTAACCATTTTCAAAAGTCTCTTGGTAGATTCATGTCTATTTCTGATAGGATATTCTTCTTGTTTGTAAAAGTCCTTAAAATTTCTTGTAGTGCAGGTATGCCAATAGTGAATCTTATCAGCTTCTGTTCATCTGGAAATGTTTTAATAGCATACTTTTGGAAAGATTCTTTTTAAAGTATATTCTTTTTTGTAGATTTTATTTATTTATTTATTTTTATGTGGTGCTAAGGATTGAACCCAGGGCCTCGCACATGCGAGGCGAGTGCTCTACCGCTAAGCCACAACCCCAGCCCCTGAAAGATTTTTTTCTACTGGACTTACAATTTTTGATTGACAGAATTTTTCCAAATGTTGAAGATGACACTCCACKGTCTTCTGCTTGCTTGGTTTCAGATGAGGATTCTGCTGCCTTTCTCATATTTGCTTTTCTGTTTGCTCTTGGCCAATGTTTTTGTCCATTTTTAGTTGTGTGGCAATAAAGTACCTGTGATTTCCAGTTTTGTTTGTTTTAAATCCCACTTTGATATTCTGAGTTTCTTGGATCTAGGTGAGGTCTTTATTTTTATAAAATTCTCAGCCATTATCTCTTCAAATATCTATTTTCCCTCCACCCTGGGTTTAGAATCATAAAAACATTAGATATTACAATATTTTCAATTATTGGATGTTCTTGTTTTCTTCACACTTTTTTCTATTATGTTTTAGATTGGGTATTTTCTATTGACCCACATTCAAGTTTTCTGACACTTTTCTCAGCTCTTTTAAGCCTACTCATAAGTCCTTCTGAAGCATTCATTATAAATTTTCTTTTCTAGCATTTCCCATTTGATTCTTTATTAACTTCCACTGAAATCCTCATCTTCTCATGCATACTGTCTGCTTATTTCACATATCAATCAGTTATGTAAAATTCCTTGATAGCTCCAAAATATGGTCAACTCTGTGATGTTGACTGGTCTGCTCTTAGTGGAGAGTTTTTTCTCATTTTTATTCAAATGCCAGATAACATATACAGAATAGTAGAGACTGAAGAAAAGAATATTTTTGCCTGGAATTTGGGTTGTTTTGCTAGGATTTGTTAGAATGTTCAATTGCTCTGGATAGTATGAAAGCTGGAATTGAATTTTTTCTTTCTTTCTTTTTCTCAGTAGTTATCTTCAGTGTACCACTGGCTTCAAATTTCTCTGGTATTATTCTCTGGTGTGTTTAGGATGGGGGTTGGAGTGCTGGAAGACTTTCCCCAATATTTATGCTGTACTTCAGCTTTTGGCCATCCTGTACACTTGTGCCAGAGAATTATTCTTTGTCCACATTCTTCCCTTTTCCCAGTGTAGCCCACTGTTAYTTGTCACCAGGAGCAGAACAGTCCAGGGTGTCCTAAAAACTGAGACTAAATAAAAACAACAGGAATCCTATGCACTTTGAGGAGCAAAACTACATACCACTAAAATAAGATTGAAGCTTTTTCCTTGGTTGTGAACAAAGAAAGCAGGAATGCTGTCATGTGAGCAATCACAAGACCCAGGTTTAATCTATCTGTATCTTTTCATTTATATAAACAAAAATACTTTTGGTTTGAGTAACTCCAAATTTTCTGTTACTAAGATTTTAAAGCCTTATTAATAAAACCACCATGGGTTCTCATGATTTTTCCTTAGAAGTGATGATAAGAAAGAAATGCATTAGAAGCCCTGGATTTCTGATGATACTGTAATTCTTGAGCCAGCATCTCAGAGATCAGTTCAAACTAGTGCCTTTGTCACCCTTTTCATCCAGCAGAGGGAAATATGACCCCCCAAAATGTGATGCATCAGCTTACTCTACTGTCATGTGGACATCCTAGGCAACACTGAGACCTAAAGAAATCTCACAGAAATATAAAATTATTGCATCTAAGCATCTAATTAATCTGTATCCTCAAAAACCCCCCAAATTTGAAAATTAAACTCAGGGGTTTTATTCTTACATTTAGGCCATATTGCCAAAGAATAAAATAGAGCAATCATATCACAAGTTCTTAAATAGAGAATTAATATCTCAGTAGTTGATTATTAATTTAATAAAACTGGTAAATGTCCATTGTACTTTTTATTTTATTTTATTTTTTTTAAAGAGAGAGTGAGAGAGGAGAGGGAGGGAGGGAGGGAGAGGGAGAGAGAGAGAGAGAGAGAGAGAGAGAGAGAGAGAGAGAGAGAGAGATTTTTTTTAATATTAATTTTAGTTCTCGGCAGACACAACATCTTTGTTGGTATGTGGTGCTGAGGATCGAACCCGGGCCGCACGCATGCCAGGCATGGCGCGCTACCGCTTGAGCCACATCCCCAGCCATCCATTGTACTTTTTAAAAATGAACTGCAAAAAAGAGAGAGAACTAAGATTTTTCTTGCTAAGGAAACTGCTATATACATAATGATGAATAATCTTTCAAATATTATCTATAAGCATGTATTTGAACACACATTATATATTAATTATATATATAATTAAATTTTAAATTAACTAGATATTATGAAGGCACAACACACATTTTCACTAAACAATATTCATAATAGTGTGCTGTTGTTTTCAATGCATCTAATACTTTTTGTAGCTCCACAGTAAAGGAATATAAAGAAAGTTTTCCAAACTCCTATTGATGAATAATTATTGCATTTTTATATTACCATCAATGTAAATCCTCCGTCACTGTTAAAATTGATCATAAATTATTATCCTATTATTTACAGATGAGTATGCACATTTTGCATTTTGATATAGTTATGTAACTCACAACATTTCAATCAACAATGGAATGCACATATGAAGAGAGTCCTATAAGATTATATTGCTGGGCGATGTTGTAGACATCTTGGTTTGTATTAAGTACATGCTATGATGTTCACCCAATGAAATTGCCCTACATTTCTCAGAATGTGTCTCTGTTCTTAGGTGATACATGACTATATACACAAGAGTTTGATATGTATTGGATGAGAAACTTGTATTTTTCACTCCCAACAATAAAATGCATTATTCTGGAAAACTGAGATCAGCAAGTAAATGGCAATACTGTCCTAATAGTCAACTGGTTAAATGCTTTCAAAAATTCAAGATTTTCCCCTTTGTGCAAGTTGGGAAAGTGTGAGTACAGAGAACTTAAAAGTTCTTCAAGCTTGCCACACACCCTGCCTACAAAGGTCTGGATTAGAGACAACACCAACACTTAAAAATCAGTCTGATCAAATGGACTTTAATGGAAATATGGAGAGTTTTTTAAAAAGCCATTATAACTCTGACATTTATTTAAATGTATTAGWCATCAGTAATCACTACTGACACTTTCCAAATGTTACAGTAAAATTCTGCCTTAACATAGGGCAGAAGTAAAAATTCAATTATTTAAAATGCAGCATTCTGTTTTTGTTAACGAGAAACAGTTTATCAGTTTGTATTGTCATTTAAAGTGCACACTTGTGTACACACACACACACACACACACACACASAGGAAAAGGRGGCAGAAGAAGGAGTAGGAGGAGAGGAGACAGGGAGAGGGTGCCAAACAGAAATTGAGTATGCTGTATAGAAAGAGAACAACTAAGAAATTCTGCATACCCCCATTTAAGAGGATAAAATATGGAAACCAGTCCTAAAAGGGTTACAACCAAATTCAAATTAATTCAAATTGCAATATTGTCTGATATTCTATATTTCAAATATTTACTTGAAGTGATACTAAGATTAGTTGTAGAATTCTTCTTCCAATTCCATTTTTAAACGAAAGTTTTTTTGAAATGAGTTCCATAAAATTTTCAAATATTATGTATATATTTATATACTTTTACTCACTTAGCATAAAATCCTGAGCACCTACTCCAAGTTGTGAAATGTCATGATTTTGTAGACTCAGCAATGAGCAAATTCCCTTCTTTAATGGGGTTTACATCTTACTGGGCATGGAATCAAGCATGATGACCATTATACTTCTGTTAAATTCCTGACCACACTCTCATATTTTGTAAGCCCTCGCTTCTGGTACAATGATTTTTAAAATTTTTGACAAAATCTGTTAGTAGCCCCTCTCATCGGAGGTCTTTGCTGTGTGGTCTCCTAACCATCATAAATGTTGATATTGGGGGGGGGGTTATTACATTTTCACTGTAAAAAGCTTTTCTGCCCACTAAAAGAACTCTAATGACTAGGAAATTTCATCTCCCCTTTGAGGACTTCAATACAAACCAGAAACTTTACAAACCTTCATTTCTGTGTAGATTTTCTGCAGCAGGATAATCCTTACCAAATTCTTCACTTCTATAGAATTTGTCACCACTATGGACTCTCTGATGAATTAAAAGACCTGAGCTCCAACGAAAACCCTTACCACATGCATCACATTTGTACGGCTTTTCTCCCGTGTGCACTCTCTGATGAGCCTGGAGGTTTGATCTCTGGCTGAAGCCCTTTCCACACACCTCACATTTGTATGGCTTCTCCCCAGTGTGTACTCTGTGATGGGCTTGAAGACTTGAAAACCCACTGAAACCTTTACCACACTGTTCACATTTGTAGGGTCTCCCTTYCGTATGGATCCTCTGATGTGCTTGAAGGCGTGAGCTCTCACTAAAGCCCTTGGTGCACATCTCGCATTTGTATGGTTTCCCTCCTGTATGGACCCTCCGATGTGCTTCAAGGCGTGAACTCTGACTAAAGCCCTTTCCACACATCTCACATTTATATGGTTTCACTCTTGTGTGGACTCTCTGATGACCTTGTAGATATGCTCTCTGACTGAAGCCCTTCCCACATAACTCACAAATATATGGTCTCTCTCCAGAGTGGACACTCTGATGACTTTGAAGGTATGATCTCTGACTGAAGCTCTTCCCACACTCATCACACTGGTAKGGTTTCTCTCCTGTGTGGACTCTCTGGTGGGCCAGAAGAGTTGAGGCCTTACTGAAGCCTTTACCACATTCTCCACACTTGTAGGGTTTTTCTCCTGTGTGAACCCGCTGATGAATTTGAAGATTGAAACTCCAACTGAACCCCTTCCCACACTCCTCACATTTGAAAGGTTTTTCTCCAGTGTGAACTCTCTGGTGGCCTTGAAGGTGTGAACTCCGACTGAAGCCCTTCCCACACTCCTCACACTTATATGGCTTTTCTCCAGTGTGAACTCTCTGATGGCCTTGAAGGTAGGAGTTCCGACTGAAGCCCTTCCCGCACTCCTCACATTTGTATGGTTTTTCTCCGGAGTGGACTCTCTGATGGGCTTGAAGGTATGAGCTCCGACTAAAGCCCTTATCACACTCCTCACATTTATAAGGTTTTTCTCCTGTGTGGACTCTCTGATGAACATTGAGAACGGATCTATGACTGAAGGCTTTGCCACACACATTGCATTTGTACGGCTTTTGTCCAGTGTGGACTCTCTGATGATCTTTGAGTTTTGAACTCCAGTTGAAGCCATTTCCACACTCCTTATAAGGTTTTTCTCCAATGTGAATTTTCTGATGGCCTTGAACATTTGAGTTGTGCCTGAAGTTGCTACTGCATACATAGTGTTTATACGGCTGTTGCCTAGGGTAGACCACCTGAAAGTCCTGATGCTGTGAAGCCAGACTGAAGTCATTACTGCATTCCTTAGAATTATAGGGATGCTCTTCCATGTGAACTCTATGTTCAACACTAAGCTCTGAACTACAAATGGAATCTTTCCCATATTTCACACCTGTGTATAGTTTCTCTGCAGGTTGCATTTTCTGATGAGCTTGAAGACATGAACTCTGGTTTAAAATATTCCCATTCTCCTCATAATCATGGGGTTCCTCCCTAGTATGGACCCTAAAAATGCTTTTAAGATCTAAGCTATAACTGAAGGATTTCTTATAAAGGTTGCACCTCTCGGATGTTTCTCCTGTGTGGTTAAGTTCAAAAGTGTTTATAGAAGAGAAATTATTAAAATTCTTTCTATATCCAGCACATTTGCATAGTTTCTCTGTACACTCTCTCTGATGAGATTGCAGATGTGAACTCTCACCAACATCTTCATCTCCCCTCTGAACACTTGGATGTAGATGAAGAATTGACCTATAGCTACAGCCTTTTCCACATGGACTATATGTGCAGGGCTTCCCTTCTAAGTGGAACTGCTGATTAACTTGAGAATTGCAGTCACTGCTGAAGGCTTTTCTATACTCAGAACATGGGCAGAGCTTCTGCCCTGTTTGAACTGAGTCCTGATGAACTAATGATGCCATCATGGTATCTTCTCCACAGTCATGACAACTCCCACCTTTTCCACTTCTGTGTACTTTCAGATTATCATTGTGATGTGAGATCCATCTGACRCTGCCACACCTACAGGAATTATTTCTTGTGGAAATTTGTTGGCATTTACATTGATAATTATGTGACTCTGTCAGATACATTTTCCTCCAATACTGCTGGTCTCTCCAAGATGGAAATTCTTGATTTTTTACATAATTTGAATCATCCCCTACATGATGAGTCAATATGTAGTTCCCATCTTCAGAAATCTGAATTGGCATTTCTGTCCAAATCTGGTAGAGAAGATCACCTTGTTTTTGCAACTGGAAATCCTTGTCCTGAAAGTTTTTCATAGAATCCTGATCCCTGGTTAACCTGCCTGCACCTTGTTGCCAAGTCTGACAGGAAGAAAGCTCTTTGGGGGAAAAGTAGCTTAATCCCGCTTCTTGAACATTCTCTGTCTTGGGTTKACTGATGCTTCCTATAAGGATAAAGAGAATTCAGGCAGGTGTACAAGTGAATTATTTATTCAGAAATTTCAATACTCTATTCTTAGGTCATAACATACCTTGAATGAATCAGGAAAAAAAATCATGTCACTACTTCTAAGAATACTTAGAAAATGCCTCCTTTTAGGTTACATTAGATATGTAAATAGAATCCACAATATTCAGACTATTTATACACCTGAAAATCAGGGCTTTAACACAACCTGGTCAGCAAATGGTGGCCCTGTTTAAAAAGCCTAGTAACCATAAGCATGCTATCATGGGTTTACCATGGGTTTCCTGGACACCAAAGGATGAAAGAGAAGGGGATATTCTCAAAYTGGAAAGAATATGGCTGCAAATGGACAAGTGCTTTTTGTTCTGATAATAACTTTCTTTCTTTCTCAGGCATATCATCATTGTAATGTTTCTGTTTGTTTATAAGGAGATTGGATGTTAAATGCTATGCCCAAGGTGGTCGACAGATCTTTAATCTATGCTTGAGATATCATATGGCCCATCTCTAAGTCCACTGTAAGTCATTATCAGCTTTAAATCCTTTCAAAAGATATTTCACAATTACTAAGGGCCATGGTGCAGATCAGAATATGAAAAACTCTTAGAGGATTCAACTCAAGACATCAGGAAAAAAAGAGGTGCAGGAGGCAAGCACAGCCAAGTCTCAGGGCACTTGAAAGGTGTTTTCCTAGGCATCTCATCAGCCAGGAATAAAACCTAACAAACATCAACTTTGKTTTGCATCAATTTACTGGAATAAGATCCTAATGTTCAGGGAGTCTTGAGGCACCAGGAAGAGTTTGAAGAMAGGCACATTTGGGTAAAAATGACCCGTTATCTAGTTATTAAATACCAGATTATAAGCAAACAGCAGATCTTCATGTTCCAGGGAGAAGTATCCTAACCACAACTGGTTAAGCAGGGTTGAATTAATACTATGTACTTGGCAGCACACTAACTCTCCAAGTTATTCAGAAAAAAGGTATAAATATGAATATTGCCTGCATCCAGAGTAATTCTTCCTTATTTATTTGTTTGTCTTTCCATGCTGGAATATATTATCCACAAGGACAAATACTTAGTAGTCTGCCTCGAATTATCTTCACTGCCTACAATATGGCCTAGTGAAGAGTGGTTCTCAATAAATACTRCCTTGTGTTATTCTCACTCATCTAACAAAAAAGGGCATGTACATATAAGTTATTTTAATGGGAAAGGACCTGGTGATGGCAATTTTGCAGGCAGTTCAAAGTTTATAGGAGAGACAGGGCTACACTCAGGGTGATGCTTCTGGAGAGAAAAGCAAAGGTCACAAGAATCTCTTGTGGATGAAATGAAAGCAAATGACCCATAAAAGACCCAAAGGTAGGAACTATGAATTGCGTCTTTAATTTTTAGAGTTACTTTTAAAATAGCGTATTTTTTCTTGAGCAAAATTTCACCTGTAAGACCTACCCTATCCCCAACATTTAAAAAAAAAAAACAGGAATAAAGAAAGGGCCCCATGATGGCCCTATGCCATAGGCTCTGGGGGATACACCAACTGTGGGAAAACACTTCAAGGCATCTGCTAAATACTCATCTGGGTACTTTTAAAAGTCGGTTATTGATGCCTCTGCCTTCTCAAATGCAAAGCTTTCAGTTGTTACATTAAGATTTTAGCTCCTGGGACTGGGATTGTGGCTCAGTGGTAGAGCACTCGCCTTGCAATGGGCGGGACCCAGGTTCAGTCCTCAGCACCACATAAAAATAAAGGCATTGTGTTGTGTCCATCTACACCTAAAAAATAAATATTTTTTWAAAAAAGATTTTAGCTCCTAACAATAAAATTCTGTAATATAGAGAAGTTTGGGTTTCTAGATAAGTTAATCATAATGCTTACAGCTTAGTTTCAATGTCATCAAAAATACCCACTATATACTTATAAAGGTATAGTTCAATATGTCGTCTTTTGGGAATGACATGTCTTAGAACATAAAAAGCAGCTCAACAGTCTAATGTCTTACAAAGCATCTATTTCAATACAAATTAGTACATAGTTTATGACAATAATCTCTCAGAAAATATAAGAGATTAAAGTTTCTTTTTGATCAGTGGTTTTTACAATGTTAAAAAGAGGAAGGGGCTGGGCAMGATGGTGCATGCCTGTAATCGCARTGGCTCGGGAGGCTGAGGCAGGAGGATGGTGAGTTCAAAGCCAGTTTCAGCAAAAGAGCAAGGTCCTAAGAAACTCGATGAGACCCTGTCTCTAAATAAAATACAAAATAGGGCTGGGGATGTGGCTCAGTGGTCAAGAGCCCCTGAATTCAATAACTGGCATTCCCCCCACCCTCAAAAAAGAGAAAAAGGAAAAAAGGTGCTTTCATTCACTGCTCATGGAAAACACCACACCTTCAACAACACTAACTTGAATTTCCTCTGACCAGCAGTGCAGACCAAAGCACTTTGTCACTTTCTTTCCATGTCTCAACATTTTAAGTTCTATTTTATCAATGGCAGGGTGCTGATGAGAAACTATGCTAACTTTATAAATGAATTTTATGTGATGGAGAAAATAAGTTCAAGAGAGCACTGAAAGACCTCATCTAAGGTAAAATGGTTGAGAATTTATTTCATAGTAATTCTGCTTTTGCACTTAAGTTTGAAAAAGCCAATCATTCCAGCATCTTAAGTCAATCAATTGAATAACAAAGCAATTCTATCATAAATAAATATAAACAATTCCTTTAAATATGATAACCATAATGAACTGAAACAAACAAATTTTGGTTATGTTTTCTTTTTCACTTCTATTAGAAGCTACTCAACAGCATGGACAACCAGCCGGATATCACCCGACATTCTGATGAAACCTTCARACAGCAAGAGGAACTAAGGCATTCTGTGGGCAGTACAAGACACAGCAATGATGTGTGACCACAGAGCAGCCCTGACGCTGCTGTGCTGGCTATGCTCAACCACACCAGGCTCACCTCCACCTCTCGACCTGAGTGTATTTAACGGCAAGACTCTGGGCTCCCTCCACTTCTTGCCCTCCATGTAGACAGAATTGAGCAAGTTCTATCTTCCTGATCATCGACATTAACAATGGTTCCAACATGTAACTTTCCACAGTTTTAACAGTCTACAGAGAGAAATATATAATATTTAAAACAAGAACAGGCTTGTGTGGGGAGAGGCAGAGAGAGTGAAGTGCAGAAAACAGACTCCCTTGATATTATAACATAAATTTGGCCTGCCTACCACAGCCAGGGATTAGATGTCAGAACCACTGTCAATGCAGATGATCGAAAAAGGCACAACAAATTATAAGAAAAACTGTTCAAACATGTAATTTAACAGATTTATCATATTTCATTAGCAACATGCCATTTTATCCATAACTTCTTTCTATTTGAATTTAGTTAATRCAAATGTAGAGCATTTTTTATTAAAAAGGAAATTATGTCAAAGAATTATTAATGCTAGGTCAACATCTGAGTGACATATCTAAGACATCACAARATATTTATGAAAGGTTGAGTTAAAGTTAAAGAGAAGGGCTGGGGATGTAGTCCAGTGGTACAGTATTTGCCTTAAAAGTGCAAGGCCCTGGGTTCCATTCCTAGTACCACAAAATAAAAAATAAAATAACTCATTTTTTCAAAAGTTAAAGTTTAGTTAATGTTAACATATAAAATTAAAAATTGCAGCAACTATTAACATGGTGGTATTTTATATTTGAATTAAGTAATAAAGGAATTAAAATTAATGAAGACAACAATTGATGACAATTATCTGATAGAAATGGAAAGGTCCTTTGTTCCACACCAGATAAAAGATGCTAACAGATGCAGAATCAAAGGAATTCTTAGAGGTTATATTTTCTACTTCCCTGTTCCTCTTTTTGCTTGGAAAGATAAGGAGAACAGACTAGAAGAAAGAATCTGTGAGACAGGAGAAATCTGTCTCATGGCGTCTATGAAAAATGGATTAGTGTTATCCAATCTAAAAAAGCTTCAATGCTGGGGCTGGGACTAAAGCTCAGTGGCAGAGCACTTGCCTAGCATGTGTCAGGCACTGGGTTTGATCCTTAGCACCACATAAAAATAAACAAATAAAGGCATTCTGTCCATCCACAATTTAAAAAGCTTCGATGCTGAAAGACCTTCATACATGTGGCTGAAAATGCTTTGGTCCTAACTGAATAGGAAGTTCCTCTGCTGGGTTCCTAAAAGGTGCCCAAATGGTAGCAGCCTCAGGCTCCCTCAGGATACCAGAAGGGCTATCAGAATATGTGTGTACAGAGGCTGTGCACATCCAAGTTGATCCTGGTTAATAAGCATGTAGAAGTTTCTGTCCGTAGTTGAGCAGAGAGAAAAATCTCCCAACATGCCTCCTGATGGAGTAATGATACTTCATACTGTATCATTTTTTTTCTGAGCTCATTACTCTGTCTCACTTCTTACTTCCTGTTATGGTTTAGATAAGAGGTGTCCCCAAAAACTCACGTGTGAAACAACACTAGAAGGCTCAGAGGTGAAGTGAGAGGGTTACGAGAGTCATAACCTAATCAGTGCATTAATCCACTTATAGGGGTTAACTGAGTGGTAACCTTGGCCAGGCACGGTGTGGCTGTAGGAGGTGGGTCATTGGGAGCATGCCTTTGGGCACTCCTGGTGAGTAGAGTCTCTCTGCTTCCTGATTGTCATGTCCTGAGTTGTCTTCTTCCTCCACACCTTCTGCCATGGTGTTCGGCCTTACCTTGAGCCCAAAGCAATGGAGATGACCATCTATGGACTGAGAGCTCTGAAACCATGAGTCCCAAATAAACTGTTCACAGTGACAAAAACATGACTAAAACACCTCCCTTCTTTCCTTTCTTCATTCCTTCTTTTTGAGACTGTTTCACTGTGCTGCCCAGGCTACTCTTGAATTCCTGGATTCAAGTGATCCTCCTGCCTCAGCCTCCTAAGTGCAAAGACTCAGACAATGCCACTGCACCTGGCTAGTTCTTGTTTTTTAAATAATGTAAAAAAGCAAATAATATGCCACACAGATTATATATGACCAGCAAAGCCTAATATTTACTATCTGGACCTCTGGAGAAAATATTTGTCAAACCCTGCTCTCAAGAAGGCACTGCACCATGTGTAACCCTGAACCTTAACTGAYATGGAAACAAAAATTATAGAAATGAATAAATTCATTTTTAAATTTTCTTTTTTTTYCTACCCAGGAGAATCCATTACTACACAGTTGTGACAGTGGCTTTTGATGTTAGTCTCGAGGATTCAAGAAACATTAAATGTTTGAACTCATGTAAATGTCCAACTTGAAATTCTACCTCAAGACTGATGTTATGTGGAAGAGACTGTTTAGGCGAGAGAAGAGAACAGAATGGGCATATGAACTCAAGAGTGTCTCACTTGAAATTGCTGCATGAGAAAGGTCAAGTACAATGTTGGCACTGATCATTTGGGTACTTACTTTAGTTGATTGGCTATTCTTGTCTTCTAGGAATAATGGTTACCTATTTATGACTACCCAAAGACARCTAAACAGGACATGCAGTGTCAGGAGCCGTCATGGGTTGCATGTGGGTCACCACACATGGAAGTTTCATGGATAGAGACATCTGGTGTCTGGGAATGACCAATGGTCATTTCCTCTGGTCAACTGCCCAGGGACAATGTGAATCTCTTTCCTGCTCTGCTGTAACCCACACAGCACCTGAGATGGGTGTGACCTGCCAAGATGTCAACCTGCTGACTGCAAGACATCACAAAGCAAGACTCCACCCATAAAACCTTATCCCTGTCTTTGATATACTCCCTTAAATGAGCCATTTTGTCTTTCATCTAGTTCCAGAACCCGTGTGGAACTAGACCTTTGATATACCCCCTTAAATGAGCCATTTTGTCTTTCATCTAGTTCCAGAACCCGTGTGGACTAGCCTCTATCAGAGGCTTCACTTTCTGTAAATATTTCTGAGTATTTATGCTTTGTTATTTACCAGTTATTTCAGATTGTAAGTCTTAGGGTGACTTGGATTATCCTGGGCAGGAAGAAGGACCGCTTAATGAGACGCTGGCCATCTTCCCCCCAATAATGTAGTTATCAGATACAATCAACATTCTAGAGCATTCTTCAATTACCCTGATTTAGTCTATATCTATTAGCTGTCCCAGGGTAGACTGAAGACAGCAAGGACCATGCATCTGTTAATCAATTTATAAATTAAGACAGCAAGAAAAGTAAGTCACAGAACCTGATGGAGAAACAGATTATAGGTCTGGTGGGAAGCAATAGGGTGATGTAGCTAAAACTGACAAGAATGGTCAAAACCAAGGAGGTAAAAGGCAGATACTATAGGTCCTAGTGGGCCACTGTAAGTGCTTTAAATTTACTATCTCTGAAATGGGGACCACTGCAGAGTTTAAGCACAGAACTGACATTTCCTGCCTTGTGTTCCAGAGGGGCTCACTGGCTACTAGTCCCTGTTGAACAAGTCTCACCTGAATATCCATCTCTTTGGATTTTTGCCTCCACTATTAAAAGCTTTTCTTCTCTCTCCAACTGGGCTATCAGGTCTGGTTTGAAGGGCTGATGTGCTATAAGAAAGACAAGKAGGGCAAAATATTTAAGTTTGATGACGTCTATTTTGTTAAAACTAGATTAAAAGGTATACTCAAGTATGGCTCCCTCTTTTTCACTAATCCTTCCCTCCAGTGTTTCTTCTTATAAAGATAAGCAGATACACATAACCTTTACCTGGGTTCCTCTTTCTTACACAAATTGCAATGTACTGTTAATGCTCTTTTGCACTTGGTTATATTTATGGAAAAAATATAGATGGAAATAGACTGCTGGGAAAGGTAAGTACAGAGTTTTGTTAGATGTTGTCTGGGGTTGCTCTCATTAGGGATAACATGATTTTGCATTCTTACTTTCAATGAATAAGAGTGCTTTATTTCCCATAGCTATATAAGAAAAAAAAAAGTATAGCTTTAAAATTTTCACCAATCTCATGGGTGAGAAATTATATGTAGTATAACTTTAACTAACATTTATTTTATTTTGAATGAAACTGAACATCTATTCACCTGTATACACACTTACATGTATGTTTGTGTATATGTAAGTATATGTCTATGTGTATATGTACATACATGTGTGTGCACACACTTCCTAGCTCTGTCCTGAGACCAAGAAACAAAGATACCACAGTGGTGGATGACCATATGCAACCTCCAGACCTTGGAGTTAAATATGATTTCCCCAAAAGGGTATGGATGCCTCCATATCTGGGACAAAGCAAAAGATGATCATAGGACATCAGGCTGTGCCATAAAAGAAGTGCTAAAAATAGTATTAGGGCATGTTACAGAGGTACAGGAGTCAGTCTAAAGGAGCCAAATTTGGAACAATGACAACAAAGTAATTTTAACAATAAATTATAAATTATTTAAAAATTCAAAAACCCCTACAAATAACAAATAAATTAAAGCTGGGAGGAGGCTCTTACTGCAGAATACCAAATCTGTTAAATGTAAAGGAAATACTAAAGTCAGAGAAATCATCATTGTGTAACCACCATGGTAAAGATACGGCAAGACTCATCACTGGATGATAAATCCATAGGGAATTACTTGTGCTGACCAACAGAATCAAAATGAGCTTCATTTGTGAGAGAATATTATGTGCCTCCAGATACAACACCTTCAAAAGAACACACTCCATCTATATACAGTGTTCCCAACTGAATGGAACATGTAAATCTAATTATGAGGAAAATTTGGGAATGGTCTGTTTTCAAAAGGGGAGGGGTAAATGTATTTTTCAAAAATGTCACTGCCATAAAAGAGAAATGCTGTGAAAATGTTCCAAATTAAACAAGGCTAAAGAGACATGATGACTAGGTAAGACTCAGACTAGACCCTGGTCTGGAGGGAGAAAAATACATTTGCAGATCACAATCAGCTTTATGGATAAAATTAGAGCATACATAACAGATTAGATCAAAGTTGTATATCTGTACCAGGGATATGTGAGAGAATATTCCTATTTCTAAAAGTAGAATTCTACAGACAGAATCCAGTAAAGGATTCATCTTCTCCAAAGAGAGGTCTGACCTTTGCACTTGGCTCCTGGGAGGATCTAAATACTTGGAATTTCCAACCTGAGAAAAGTCTCTTGTTCAGCCAGATGCCCTGGGCCATGCCAGACATTAAACAATGTAATTTATGGTTTGGGCTTTGAGTGTTATCAGCTTAGCCTCTGGAAGGGTTGGAATCTGATGGTCAGCCATATGTAACATGACTGAACCCCAATAAAACTTCTTGATGCCAAGGCTCCAACAAGCCTCCTTGCTTGCGACAACCCATGCACCCTGATACTCAGCACTTCTGGGAAGAGTCAACACTGTGCACAGCTCCACAGGGAGACAACCAGAAGCTTCAAGCTTGAAACACTCCTGGACAGTGCCCTGTAAGCATCTTTCTTTGGTTGATTTCAATCGGTTTCCTTTCTGTATAATAAATCAAAAACTGTGATGATAACAGCGTTCAGTGAGTTCTGAGAGTCCTTCAGTGAATTATGGGGTCTGGAGGTGATCTGTCTCAAGGACCTCCAAATTAGCAGCTACTATCAGAAGTGAAGGTGATCTTAGTAATTCTCAAACTCTGCATATACATTGAAATATTTAGAGAAAAAGGGCCATGGTATATGTAAATTATCTTCAGGTGGTTCAGAAAAGATATTATAAACATTCATATATTTTCATATATGTTTATATAATGGAAAAAGAAAAAACATGAGCACAAATTTTGAAGCTAATGAGGTAAAATGTCAATCTAGATAAAAGTTATATGAGTGTTCTTATTCTTTGACTTGTTCAAATTTCCCACAAACCTGAAGTTATTTACAAATACACTGTTAAATTAAAAAAATACTTCCCACAAACCAAGTTAATAAATAATTACTGGTGTCCTAAAAAACAACAACAAAAGTAAAAACTGAAATGACTTACTAAATTGATTGGGGTCCTAGTGAAGAGGACCTAAATTTGCCTGTGTACAGATCAAAAGACAGACTTTTGCTTGGAGGGAACCATGGGAAACACTGTGTCTGTTCTACAGAGATTGCTAGCTGTTATGGTTTGGGTATGAGGTGTCTCCCAAAAGCTCCTGTGTGAATGCAGGAGTAGTCAGAGTACAAGAGCTATAGCTTCATCAGTGAGATAACCAGGGATGGATTAATAATTTAAAGGGACTAACTGGGTGGGAACTGTGGCCAGGTGGGGGGTGGCTAGAGAAAGAGGTCCCTGGGGACATGCTTAAGGAGTTCAGATTTTGTCCCTGGAGCCTTGCAAAGACTTTCTCTGCTTTCTGCCTTCCTTGAGGTGAGCAGCTTTCCTCTGCTACAACTCTTACAATGAAGTTCTGCTATACCCAGAGCAATGGCACTGGCCAACCTTGGACCTGTGGAACCCTAAGCCAAAATAAGCTTTTCCTTCTCTTGAGTAGTTCTTTTCAGGTATTTTGGTCACAGTGATGAAAAGTTAATAAACACACTTTGACTCTCAAGCACCCAAGCACAGAGAATGATTCCAGGAGTCCCAAAGCTTCCAATTGCTGAGCCCACAGAGACACCCAAGAGGCTGCCAATACACAGGTGCCTGTCCTCACCCACTGAGAGCAGGTTCCTGAAGTTCTCCAGCATCACATCTCGGTACAGCTTCCTCTGAGCAGAGTCCAGCAGCCCCAGCTCCTCCTCACTGAAGAGCACAGCCACGTCCTTGAACGTCACCATTTCCTAGAATACCAAACACACCAAGACTATGTTTATGGGAGAGGGGCAGCACTGATAAAGTATAAATGGTGGGGAGCTGTTCTGGATTCTGAAGGATTCAAGTCAAATTTTTTTTCACTTTTTTTGGTTGGTGCCTTATAGTTGTACTCAAGTCTAATTTCAGTAGCTGTCTCTGTCTGCCTTCTATAATGTTGGTTCCATCAACCAAAGGGGCTGGAGGGGAAAAAAATCCTTATACTTTACATTACTTCCTTTTCTTGGTACTCCTACAGGTACCCAGAACTCTGTTGCATCTGGGCTATTAATGTTTTAAATTTTATTAATAAAGCCATTTGCACCAGAAAAGCTTTAGTTCCAACAGTGTAGGGTGGTGTCTGTATCTCTACTTCCGTGTGCATGCTACACTAATTTACCAAATTTACAGGGTATCATTGCTCTTATTGCTTAAGTATGTTCCCATCCTCTGTGCCACATCTTGAACTGTAGCTTTTATAGCTGCTGAGGTTATGGGCACAGCTCTGGAGACTGAGTGCTTGTGTTCACATCTGGATGCTTGACCCTATCCTAGCTGTATGGTCTTCCACAAGTTTCTTCTCTCATTTTTATGCTGATAATTATACCATAGGGTCCCAATAATAAAATGAGTGGCTATGTAAAACATTTAGAAGCAGTGCCTGGTACACAGGAAGTGCCCAGTAAATGCTGCTATTGTTACCAATGTTGTCATCACATCTTTCAAAAAATTTAAGGGCTGCATAGTAATTCAAGGAACTGATGATTTAAAATATAGTGACCTGATTCAATTTATACACACTTTGTTTTAGATTACCTATTATAAATAGTGTTGATTATATATATATATATACACTTTTATATATATATTTTTAGTTCCTGGAATTTTGTTGATTGTCTCTTCAAAAGAAACATCAAAAAAGTAGAAATTGCTGTGTTGTAGAATAACAATATTAAAGTTTTGGAATCACAATATATTAGTACATGATAATGAAGCACAGAAAGCTTCAAGTACTGGTGTGAAATAACTTAGTTTTTCTTATGTGAAAACATCTAATTTTTTTCAAGTTTAGCTTTAATATGATCCTGTTAGGAAAAAAAAGTGTATTTTAAGTATTCTTTTTAAAAGTCCCTGAGGTACTGCTTAGGTTTTTTTTTTTTTTTTTTTTCAGTTTTGAGTCCCCAGAATATTAAAGACAAACAATAGTAAAATACTCTCAGAATTGCTTTTGGAGTAAAGATTATATCCAAGAAAATTGATATTACAATGTAAAACTTCAAGAATCCTCAGGAACTTAAAAGCTTGTAGTGAGAAATAATTTAAAGAAAAGGTAGTGAGTGGGTACCTGATATTATTAGGTATTTTATTTATTAATACTTTTTAGTTGTACACGGACACAATACCTTTATTTATTTATTTATTTTTATGTGGTGCCGAGGACTGAACCCTGTGCCTCACACATGCTAGGCAAATGCTCTACCACTGAGCCACAACCCCAGCCCCTACTATTAAGTTGAATTTTTTTCCACTATTAAGAAGAAAAAACTATTTAAACTTCTGTTATTGCAAATGTAATTAGGAAAGCATATTCTTAAATGACCAATAGAAAAACCAGGTGATTTTCAAGTATGGTAATACAATGTGTGATTTTTAATTTCTATTCTCTTTTACACTATTATTTGTGAAATAGAAATGATAATAAATCAAATTAAAAACTAAGAAATTCTTCAAAAAGACAAAAATGTACACAAGAGCCTGACACACAAATGGTATTAAATTCCTGTTGTTTTTCTTTAATTTTGGTTAAGAAGGGAAAAAAGTATGTCCTCTCTGAGAAATGAGGGCAACATGTCCAATAACGGAAATGAAAACCAACTCACCTGGAATTTGGTCATTTTCTCCTCCTTTTTTTAGGGAAAGGCAGAGACCTGAGAAGGCATAAGAGGATAATATGAAAGCAGCTCGGAGAGAAAGGGAAATGTTTCCTTGTGCAAAGTACAGAAAGGTCTCCTTCCCTAGCAGGTGCAGCCACACACATCTGGTAAGTGGTGGGCAGTGTGGGCTGGATTCCAGCCCCACCCCACCCTGGCACAGGCTGCGCAGCTGGACCCAGCAGCCCTCACACCTTGCTCTCGCAGGGTGTTCATTCTGATCCTGGGAAATGGAGAAAAGGAGAGGCAGTGAATGTACTGGTTCAAAGTGGGCTCCGGGGACAAAATACCTGGGTTCAAAACCAGGTGCTGAATAATCACAGTTGTTTATTGACCTTCCACATGATTTGATTCTGTCATCTGCAAAACTGCAATGGTTAGAGTGCCAACATTATAGGATAGTCAGGATTACATGAGGGGGTAATAGAAAGCTATTCTAACTATTCCAAGATTCTTTATTTCCTCACAGCTAAAGAAGTAGACACCATTTTGCATCATAAAACTGTCTTTGTAAATATATTTGGGAAGATATTTGGATGCAGAGATTATTGTTCTGTCCAGGGAAAGTCACCCTTCAGTCCTGGAATGTCCAACTCTGGCTTCTTATTTTATTTGTTTCCCCGGTAATATCACTGGTTAGAAACTGAGACTGCCCTTAGAAAAAATGTATAGTGGCTAATTAATATTCTTCCTAAATTCAGAAGAGGTTCAATGTACATTCCTTTCTCTCATGGAAACAAAAAAATTAATGAAAACTGTGTGCTATGATTCTTCTGATGTTAAACAACAACCAAAAAACGTGACTCTGCCTGTTTTGACTGTTGATCAGAACCCCTAACTAGTTAGCAGGGCCGTTTGTGGGGTAAGGTGTGCTCATCTGTGCAAAGCAGCTCACAGCTTGTGAATTTAGACACYATAAGTTTAATTTCCTGGGTCCTTCCCCAAGATCTGTTATTTTTTTACTGTTCTCAGGCAACTTCAAGGCCATCTGTAGAAGAGGGAAAAAAAAAAAAAAAAAGCAAGGACTGTGTAAGGCAGAGCCTGTCAGTACCACCTGGAGGGAGGCTACTTCAGTAGGGTCCTACCTGTCAGGAGCTGCCACATAGGAGCTGAGCACCCACTAGCTTTGAGCAATGGAAATGTGGAGACTGGCTTCCCTGACCAGGAAGAAGGTGGATCCCCATCTCCACTCGGCAAAGGAGCAAAGCTTTGGGAGTGGGTGTTACCCAAAGGAGTGGGCTGCCTTCTTGTTCCTTTGTAATACTACCCCTGACCTGTTATGGATACAATGTTCCATGGAACCTCCCCTAGTGTGTCCCCTATATAAGAATAAAGAATTCCAATGGCTCTCTCTCTCTTTCCAATGGAAAGAACCATCCTGGGATTTTGAAAAGGTACTTCTGTGTGTTGCGTGGTTATTGAAGTAGTCAGAATTTGTGAACCCAGCACAGGTCACCAGCTCAGTTAGATGGTGATACCTACCTCCTTGGGAGTCCCTGCCTACAAGGCCATTGCTGTAGAGTCCACAGAACGCACACACAACTACCTAGGATGAGTATTAATCTGGCTGTGCAACCAGCAATGAAAGAATTGAGTTTTTTTTTTTTACATGTCCAGTATTCACCTTTGAAAAGTGATACAGTTCCTAGATAAACGACAGGCTGTGTGGTATCCTTTTAGAACATGGAAGGGGCCCAAAACCTAGACTTTGGGAGGGAAAGGGAGGGATGGGCTCAGTAGAGAAAAGGAGGCCTGATCTCAGCCCTGGAGGATGACTGAGTTGTATCTGCCCTCAAAGACAGGCGCTTGCCAAAGACCTGTAACAAGGAGTTAGAGGGCACCAGGGCAAAAAAAGGAATCAGAAAAAGTGGTGAAAAGAGCCAAGCCATGTGCTTTAGAGAAACTACCTCATGAATCCTCACGCCACCCAAGATGCAGGGACGCTCGTGACTTCCTTCACCATGGAAAATACGAGGCATCAAGATTCTTAGTTGCTTTCTCCATTTGGCCAACAGAGTAGCCAGGATTATGAGCTCAGAGTCTGTGTTATCAATTCCTATGATGCTGACACGCAAGCTGCCAGGTCACTGGAATCAGTGGTGAGTCCAAGAAAATAATGCTAATGCCCAAGTCCCAGTCCTGGTTTTAAAAATGAGGGTCTGTGGAAGAAGAGCTTTAATGAAATTCCCACAGGTGACCACAGTTCACAGAAAGTTGCAAACCACAGACTGCGAGATGAATGGTGGCAGCTGGCAAGCAATTAACCACTGGGCCTGTAGCCTCTGGAGGGAGCTGCCAGAGGACACAAGCCAGGAGCAGAGCAGGGTCTGGGACCCAGAACTCCTGATTCCCAGCTACCTATCTACTTTAAGAAGCTCTTGGWACTGTCACTAAGAAAACAGCAGTTTACCTGTGCTGCAGATGCCTTTGCAAGCACTCGCTCAGCATGAAGAAGGCTTCCAGACTCAACCAACCTCATTAGCTCAAGCAAGGACTCACCAACTACCCAGGAGATTCTTAGAATTAAACATAAAAGGCAGGACAGGGGCATGGTTCAGTGRTAGTGTGTGTGCCAGGTATGAGAGGGCCCAGGTTCTATTCCCAACACCACCAAAATCATAAATAAAAGGCAATTCTTTTTAAATAAGTATTTAAATAGTGGTAGCTCTACAAAATGTTCTCGTTTGTTCATCTATTAAATACAGTTAAAGTCTGGGTATGTTCCTTCTTGGTTAAAACTCGTGCCTGTATGCCAACTGCCTTGAGGATAAAGTCTAGATTTTCAGCAGGCCACACAGAGGAACCTCCCATGGCCTTCTGCTCGTTCTCTCCAAACCCTCTCCCCTATAACCTCTTGCACTTTCTAGGTATCAGGGTCTAAGATCATCAGTGTGTGTGTGTGTGTGTGTGTGTGTGTGTGTGTGCGCGCGCGCTCGCGCGCGTGCGTGTGCAAAAGGTGAGTGAAAATTTTTTGGTTCACATGTTGTCTTCTTGTGAATACTACTTATTCTTTTAAAAACCCTTTAAATGTAAAACCATTCTTAGCTGGGAAGGGACATAAAGAAAGAAATCATGGGTAATAACATGCCTACCCTAGTCTGAGCCTTCAGGGCCTCGAACACTCAGTTTCCATGTCCCCTGCTCCAGGACATTTTGAAACAGGTTTGGCTGTGGCCTGCTTAGTGTGCCAGCCCACCTTGCCAGCCTATGAAGGCACAGTGCTTGGCCAACAGCCCAAGGTATAGAACCAAGCTGCTGAGCTCAGTCCTGACTCAGCCACTAACAGGCAGAGTCAATTTCTGCAAATTAATTAACCTCTCAGTGCCTCTATTTCTTTATCTGGAAAATGTAGATAAAGGCAGAGTTGTTAAAAGGACTAAATGAGTTGAATGCATCAAAGCATTAGAAAGTTGGTATGATTTATAACAAACACCCAGTAAAAGTTAGCTATTGTTGGTACCATCCTCATTTATTGTCACTGTGGAAGAAACAGAGCCCACACGTTGGCTTCATTTGTTYCTTAGGCTATTTATCCTAGGTCAGTAATTTCCAACAAGTAGACATCACCCTTTGAACAGTGTAAAAAAAAATGGTGGCTTCCACTCCCAACAAAACCAATTAGAGATAAAGGGCAGAATTTAAGTTGTCTATTCTTCTCACACTCCTTTTCAGAAAATCTGAACATGACCTAAGTTGAAGGTCTATTTCCTACTACTTGTTGAAAAGCTGCACCAGCCAAATCTCTACCAATCCCGGTGCTTGGCAAGAAGCACTCAGAGAACTTGGCACAGTCCCTGATACCTACAAATCTGGAGCTGGGAGATGGATCAGAGAAAAGCAGCAGGAACATCAGTCAGCTCAGGTCAACAGAAATGATCAACACTGAGGCCCAGGAAAGTAATGGGCGTCCTGTTGTTTTTGAAGAAATGTCAATGAGGTGAGCTGGCGTCAGTCCAGGTTCTGCATGCTTACTGCTTTTCAGTCTCCTTGTTCAACTCATCACTAGAAAAGAGCATTGAGATTTTCCCATATGACTGCAGATTGCTCTGTTTCTTCTTTCAGTTCTATTTGGTTTTCTTCATATAACCGTGGCTTAGTGATTACACACGAAGGACGGTCACATCTACTCGGTTGACTGCCCCTGGTGTCGTGTTGCTTGCCATCCCTGGTAACAGTCTTGGTCTGAAGTCTCTGTGTCTGATGTGAACATGGCCTCTATGGCACACCCTTTAAAAATGTTTTTAAATTGTTAGCCTATCTCTGTCCTAAGAGCTAAAATAGGGTTCTGTTAGACAGCATACATTCGATTCTTGCTTTTTACCTAAACTATAATCTCTTTTAACTGATGAATATTCAGTGTTATTAGCATTTCATGTAATTATTGGCATGGCTGGATTTCCATTTACCATTTTATTATTTTTTTCCCATTTGGCCTCCCTGATTTTGTTCCCCTATTACTCCATTATTCCTTTTCTGTCTTCTTTTGGGTTCATTTTTTTTTAACTATTTAACTCTTTTTCATTTAGCTCTTAGCTTGAGGCTGGACCTCCTGTTTTTGTTTCTCATTCTCTAGTGACTGCTCTGGGGTAACGATGCCCATGTCCACTCTTCACAGGGCACTGTGTGTTACTGTTTTACTGCTACTGTAAATGCAGAAGTCTTGCCACCAGGCAGTTCCCTACACCCTCCCCTTTATGTTTCGGCCGTGTGTAATCTTCTATGGGCAATAAAAACTCTAGCCAAGAAAGTTATAATTTTCTACCTTAAACAGTTATGTATATTTTAAGACACAAAGATGCATTAAACAGCATTTCATATTTACAAAACAAAACARAATACCTTACTATTTCTGGTGCTCCTTCTTCATTTCTGAAGTTCTCAGCTTCCATGTGGTATCATTTCCGTTCAGCCTAAAGAACTTCCTTTAGCACTTCTTTCAGCACAGGTGTGACATTTTTTCCCCTTCATCCCTGAAAGAAATTTTCTTTGCTTATAAAAACAACTCCTTTCATAAAGCCTAGATCGACAACTCCTTCTTTAAAGCATCTTCACAATGTTGTTCCAACATCTCTGGCCTCCGTACTTCCCCAAGAGAACTCTGCAGACATCTAAGTCGTTGTTCTACCAGACACAACATGTCACTTTCACTAACTCTACTCAAGAATCCTTGCTTATCTTTGTCAGGAGTTTGATTCTGGCACATCCAGAAGTGACTTACAATGAGTTTTTTTTTTTTTTTAATTTTATATATTGGTATTCACTGAGCTTCTTGAATCTGTACCTTTATATCACTCACCAGATATTGGCAGTTTGGGGCCAGTATTTCCACACAAATATTTCTTTCTCCCTCTTCTGAGACTCCAATGACATGAATATTAGACTTTTGATACATTCCATAAATTCCTAAGGCTCTGTTTTTTTGGGTTTTTTTTTTTTTTTGGTATTTTCCCTCTGCTGCTCAGATTACCATATTTATCTATATTCAAGATCACTGATTCCTTCCTCTGTAATCTCCAGTCTGCTACTGAACCCCTCAAATAAATCTGGCTCTTCAGATATTGCATTTTTCATAAATCTAAATCACTCAAAGTATTTTCTCTAAATGTAATAAAATTAAGCTAGAAATCAACAACAAAAAGATATATGGACAATATCCAAGCATTTGGAAATGAACAGCATATTTTTAAGCAACCAATGAAATTAGTCACAAAAGAAATTAGAGCATTATTTAGAATGGAATCAAAACCAAGATGCGAYATATCAAAATGCATGAGATGCAGCTAAAACATGTTATAAAGCACTGTACACCAATGATGCATAAATTAGAAGAGAGATCTTAAATCAAAGGGTAATTAATCCAAAAGCAAAAGCAGAAAAGGAAATGATAACCATAAAACAGAAATCAATGTAATTGAAAACACAAAGACACTAGACAAAATCAGACACTAGACAAAAGTAGGACCCATGGGCCCAGTCCAGCYCCCTGCTTGTTTTTGCACAAGCTGTGAGTTAAGAATTGTGCTCACATTTTTAAATGTCTGAAGAAAAATCAAAAGAATATTATTTCATGATGGGTCACTATATAATATTCAAATTTCAGTGCTTCTGAACTGCCTCAGGCTGCTCTTGCATCACAGAAGCAGAGCCATATGGCTGCAGCAGAGGCCACATGTGCCACCTGCACTTCTTTGTATTGTTGTTAAGCACAATGCAAACTATAGGACCCAGCTGATTCAATTGGGTTAAATGTTGCTAACTAAACAACATTTTGAGTTACATCTATTTCTGTAGCATAATATTTTAATTTTAAAATTACCAGTTCTTTTCTTTTCTTTTTTTAAATTTATTTATTTATTTATTCTAATTTGTTATATATGACAACAGAATACATTTCARTTCAGAGTACACAAATAGAGCATAATTTTTCATGTTTCTGGTTGTACACAATGTACCAGTGTATTTTCATCACATCAAAGAAGAAAAGAGCAGGCACAGTGGCACATACCTGTAATCCCAGCGGTTCACGAGGCAGGAGGATCGAGAGTTCAAAGCCAACTTCAGCAACCATGAGGCACTAAGCAACTCAGTGAGACCCTGTCTCTAAATAAAATACAAAATAGGGCTGGGCATATGGCTCAGTGGTTGAGTGCCCCTGAGTTCAATCTCCAGTAGCCCCCTGCCCCAAAAAATAAGAACACAAAAACAGACTTCGTTAAGGGACAATAGAGGTGAAATAYTGTTATTGAATTAGATGGCAAAGCCTTTTGCTTATTATGCACTGAGAATATAGCTATGTTAAGAGAACACAACATAAGTCAACACTGTCAGAATAAGCACCCATCACAAATATTCTCAATTCACACTAAAGCAATGGTCAGAAAAATTAGAAAATTCAAGTTGAAATATCTCATCAGAGCAGACTTTCTTCACAAAACAAGTGATGTAAATAAAGCTGCAATCAAAGTAAGATTTGGCTATTCATATACACAGCTTATATTTTTAACCCAAGCAAGAAAAGTAACTTACCACTGATGAGCTCATCAAATCACGTCTGACTATAGCAGGAAAGCAATTGAGTCTAGATAAATAAATTTGCTTAAAGTTATTAGACTTGAGGCAAGAACAACACTCTGAATTAAGAAAAAATAAGAACAACATTATAGTCCCTTAAAATACAAGGAAAATAATTTCAATAAATTACACTTGGCTCCTGATGATTCCAGTCATTACTGATACTGCTTAGTTGTTGTTTATTTGTTATCAATGCCAACTTTGAAGTGACTCAATAATTAGCCTCTAGGAACAGTCTTCATAGAAGAACTACAGGTGAAATATTTTCAAAGTTGAAAAAAATACCAATCCAGTATAACCCAAAGCAGTATAATATGCTAAAATGTGTTAAAATTGATTGTGGTCAAAATATGATGTTGAAGCAGAAAAAGGCTGAGATGCACAGACTTCTAGGACCTGATGGTTTTAAACAATACACTTTATTCTTTTTTAGTTATGGAGGTCAGAAATCCAAAATCAGTTACTGGGCTAGTCGAGGTGTCGGCAGGCCTATTCCTTCTGAGAATCCRTTCCTGTGTTGTTTCCACCTTCTAGAGGCAGCTGGGATGCCTTGGCTTATGGCCACATCACTCYGGTCTCTGCTTCCATTACCACATCACCTTCTCCTAACTTTTGTGCTTTTCTCTTATAAGGACCCACATGGTTACACTGAGTCCAATCAGATAATCTAGGATAATYTACCCACCTCAAGGGCCTTAGCTTAATCACATCTGCAAATCTCTAAACAATGTAAAGTAAAATTCATAGGCTCTGGGGATTAGGATGTGGACATTTTGGGCYGCAATAATTCTCAGTACCACATATAAATAAATGAATAAAATAAAGATCTATCAACAACTAAACAATTCTTATTTTAAAAAGTCATTTTCAAAAAAATACATAAAATCTCATTACATATCAGCATTAACAGATGAAATTTTGCAGTTAATTTTAATAATATTAATGAACTTAAATTAGGTGAAATGTTATCTCTCCAAAAAGAATTCCACTGTTCCAGTTAGTGTGTCTATATTAGAAACAAACTGTACTTCATCATTTTATTTTAAATTTTGGCAATAAAAGATTTCTCTTTTATTTATTTATTTTTTTGTACCAGAGATTGAATGCATGGGGACTCGACCACTGAGTCACAACCTCAGCCCTATTTTATATTTTATTTTAGAGACAAGGGTCTCAATGAGTTCCTTAGCACTTCACCTTTTTTGTTGAAGCTGGCTTTGAACTTGCAATCCTCCTGCCTCAGCCTCCCAAGCCACTGAGATTACAGGCATGTGCCACCACACTAGCTTAAGATTTATCTCTAAATAAAGCATTGATTTTGCCAATTGACTGGAAAAGCTAAAACATTTATAATCTCAGACTTTGAAGAAAAATTCTGTTGAACCCCAGATAAAATCAATTAAACCCACAGGGAGTTCTTTGGGAGAAAAAAAAACAATAAAAATTAAAAATCTAGCCATACTGACAAAGAATAAAAAAGAAAAGACACCAATTACCAAAATCAAGAATAAAAGAACAGGTTTGGGGGTTTAGCTCAGTAGTAGAAAGTGTGCTTATCATTCATCAACCTAATCAAACATTCTAAGGAAAAAGAAAAATGTTATCAGATGYAGAAAAGGCACTTGAGAAAACACAACATTTATTTGTAACAAAGCTTTCACAAAACTAAAAACATAAGGGAATTTCTAAAAATGCCTTTCTTATGACCAAGACAGTGGTGTCCATTCAAACCACTCTTACTCATCAACACGGCTCTAAAAACTAGCCAGCACATATGGATTAGTAGCCTGAATCTGGACTTCCTTGAACTGTCCTGTTTGGAATTTGCTCAACTTCTTAAAAGAAATGTATAAGGTTAACCTTAAGATACCACAGGGGGAAAAAAACAGTGAAATAAACCCAAATAAATGAAAAAAAAATCAAAGGGATGAGTATAAATAGGTGAAATTGAAAACAGATGTAAAGAAAGCAAAAATTATCTGTTGTTTTACAATCAATAACACTGATACACTTATCACAATACTGGCAGAAAACAAGAGATAACAAAATTACCAATATCAGAAATGAAAAGGTGGATAGCAATTACTGGCCAGTGGACATTAAAGTAATATAATGGGAACACCATGAACAATTCTATGGGTACAAATTCTAGAATTTAGATGAAATGGGAACATTTCTTGAAAATTACAAACTATCAAAACATATGTTAAGGTGAAATAACATAAAGTTATAAAACTGAATTCACTGTTAAAAAATCTTTCAAACATATAATATCTAAGCCAAATAGTTTCACTGCTAAATTCTACCAAACATTTTTAAAAGAAATATCACTTATTGTACATAATCTCTTCCTGAAAATAGAAGAGGAGGAAAAACTTCCAAACTCATTTTATAATTCCAGAATTATACAGTATAAAAAAAGAACATAATTGCAAAAATCCTCAACAAAATATTAACAAATAAAATTAATATAAAAAGAATTTTTAAAAAACACTTACAGGTGGGATTTATCCCAGAAATGAAAAACTCCTTCAATGTTTGGAAATTCATCAACCTAATCAAACAGTCTAAGGAAGAAGAACAATGTTATCAGTTGATGCAGAAAAGGCACGAGAAAATACAACATTCATTTGTGACAAAACTTTCACAAAACTAAAACCATAAGGGAATTTCTAAAAATGCCTTTACTATGACCAAGATGTGGTGTCCATTCAAACCACTCCTACTCATCAACACGGTTCTAAAAACCAGCCAATGCATATAGATTACAAAGCATGAAAGAAAACTAATCCTATTCATATACAACATGATTATCTAAGTGGAAGATCCCCATTTACCAATAATAATAATAAKAAKAAGAAGAAGAAGAAGAASAASAACAACAACAACAACAACAAGAAGAAAACCTTCTGGTGTGTTTAGCAAAGTCTAAGAATACAAGGTAGATGCAAAAATCACATTTCTTACACTAACAATGTGCCACTGAAAACCAAAATTTAATAACAATACAACTTATAGTAACTCCAAAAGAATTCATAATATACTTAGGAATAAGTCTAAACAAAACATGCTTAGGCTTCTTATGCAGAAAAAACATGAAATGCTGATATGAAAAATTTGTATTTTAATTCAGCACCAATCAAATACCAGATGAATTTTTTTGTAGATATAGGCAAGCTATTCTAAAGCATACACAGGAAGGCAAAGAAACCAGAATAGATAAAATGATTTTCACTGGAAAAACTGAGGAATTAAACTATCCATTTTTGAGACCTACTATCTAGCTATAATAATTAAGATAGCTTGGAAATATTGAAGGGACATACAGATCAATCTAAAGGAAGTACAAAAACAAACCAAACAAATGGTGTTGGATAGTTAGTTATTCATGTATAAAGACAACACAACTCAATTTAAAATGGAAACAATATATGGATAAACACTTTAGCAAAGAAGATATAAAAATGGCAAACAAGCAAAGGAAAAGATAGATCTGCTGATCATTAACCATCAGAGAAAGTCATAATGTAATTAAAATCACAATGCAATAACGATACACAACTATTAGAATGGCTAAGATTTAAAGACAATATTAAGTGTTGGTGAATATGTGGAATAACTAGAACTCCCATATCTTACTAATAGGAAGGCAAAATAGTACAGATATTCTGAAGTGAGGTAGCTTCTTATAAAGTTAAATATACACTTTCCATATGACCCAGTAACTCCACTCCTAAATATATATACCTCAGAGAAATAAGCACAGAAACCTGTACATGAATGTTTACAGCGTATCTATTCGTAAGTGCTTAAAACTGAATAAAAAATACCAATGAAAAGGTAAAAGAATAAACTGTGGTATATCCACAAAATACAGCAATGAATAAAAATGAAGTATTCATACACAGAATAATTTGGATACATGTCAAAGGTGATTTGCTAAAAGAATCCAGATTCAAGCATATAAGTATTAGTTCATACATATAACATTCTCAAAAAGACAAACTACAGTGCTTCTATAATCAGAATGTGAACTATAAAGGTTTCATATAAAATATAATTAAATTGCAGATAACTAAAATAATCACATCAAAAAGACATAGCTTGAGCTGGAGTTGTGGCTCAGAGGTAGAGAGCTCACCTAGCATGCGTGAGGCACTGGATTCGATAGTTAGCACCACATAAAAATAAATAAAGGTATTGCTTCCATCTACAGCTAAAAAATAAATATTTAAAAAAAGTCATAGCTCATTGACATAGCTTTTGTGACCCTCTACAAAAATCCAAATGCACCTTCTCAGTCTGATAGGAAAATACAATCAAGAACTAAGGAAAAGAATTGAAACTATCTAAATTCAAATCCCAGCTCAGTCTCTTGCTAGCTAGGAACCAGAATTAACAACTTAAGCTGTGTCTCAATGATAATGACAGCCCTCCTGCCCCACATAGGGCTGTGAGGATTAAATGTGTTGATTCATGTAAAACTCTTAGAATGATATTTAGCACTACATGTTTATGCTATCTTTATAACTGAAACCCACCACCCCTTTCTGCATGTATTCAACAAATATTAGAGCTGTTCTGTAGATTTGCCAAAGGAAATCCCTTCTCCCATGAGAAGAGCGAACTCGGGAGAAGGAAGGATGCTAAATTCTACTCAGGTGAGACTCTGCCAGGCCAAAGGATCATTCCCGACTTTTCCCCTCACCTTTTGTTAAGTCTAGGTTGAGGAAGGAAAGGAGGCTGGGAGAAATCAGAACTCCCCATAACTTCCAGTGGACATCCCAGACAACAGCCAGGGGTGGGGGGCCGGGTGGGGGGAGATTCCTAGGCATTCGGGTAGAGCCGGGTTCCTTCTGGGATCCGAGAGGAGCCAGGGACACTACAACTGGAGCTCTGACCCCTTCCTAGGTTCCCTGGAGCTTTCAGCGAACTGTGTTTCTGGAAAAGTTAAAAAGAAGTCCAACAACAAATGTTATCAATGATGCACGTCTCCTGCCCGTGCCAGGTCTGTTGTCAGTCTTTTTATTCAACTCTTAAAACCACTTATTTTAAAGAAGGGGAAACGGAGGCAGAGATTAGATACTCGCCAAATACACCTCTGGGAGGTGGCACAGCTGGCTGTGGCCAGGAAAGGGGCTGGAGTGGGGGGTGCAGAACCGAGGAGACCCGCGACCCCCAAGGACGCACGACCCCGGCGCGGGCCCAGCGCGCGGGATACGCCAACCGCCGGCCACTCGAGAAGGCTCTTTGGAGGGAACGCAAACCCAGCCCTTCGCCGTAGGCGGACTCTTCCCGCAGGTCGACTGCCAGGTCGCCACTGGCCCGGAGCGAAACGCGGAGCGCTGTTCGCGGGCGCCGGGAGGGGACGCGCCGAGGGGAGGGCTCACCTTTCTGAGAGCAGCGAAGGCCGCGGCCGCGCATACCTGGGCCGGAAGCGTCTCTGCCTGCAGAGCCCGTCTGGACTACGCTTCCCAGAATTCCCGACGGGAGCAGGACGCGGCCGCAGCCGGCTGCAGCGGAAGTTATCCCATCGCCCCGGGTCCCCGAACTGCACTTCCCAGAATCCCCAGGCCGCCCCTCGCCTTCCCACGCCGGAAGTGCGGGCCGCGCCGGAGGCCGTGTGTTGGTTTTGGCGCCCGGCTTGTACGGTCGAATTCCGGGGCTCCGCTTTCTGGGAGCCAGACTCTCCCAAACGCGGAGAAGGCTGATGGGCTGGTGCTGCTGGTTGCTCCGGCAGGCGGTGAAGTAGAGACGCCTTTCCCACAGCGGTCGTTTACCACCGTGTGGACCTTCGGGACGAGGACTCCCGGCGTCTCCGGCATGGCAACCTCCCGCGCGGCGGGCTGCCTTCGGGTGGTGGGTCTGCTCGTTGGGGAGTCGGTCTGACTCAAGGCTGGAGCTCCGGTCCGGCTCGGTTGTCCCCAACCCACTCCGCCCTTTTTTTTTTTTTTCCTTGAACTGTTTTCCTTTCAAACGCGATACCCAAATTCAACCAAAGCAAACTCTGCCTACCTCTACGTACGAGTTCCAGGAAAATAATGAGCAAACTTGAAATGCATCCGAGAAAGAAGGAAAAAGGTATAAAAAGGAAGTGGTGTGTGAGCTAAAAATGGAGATAATGAAAGAAAATTGGGCTGACCTGCCCAGGGAGCTGACTTGAAGGAAAACAGGATGTCAACCTTACTTTGACTGGATTGCCTTTTTTAATTCTGGAGCTCTGATGATCTACAAAATTGACCGTTCTGCTACTACCTGCTGACAAGGTGGTCTTTCCTAGAGCCTCCATGATGGATGTAGATCCCAAGAAACAAAAGAAACAATACCCCAAGGCAACTGTTGATGAGGCTGCAAAGTGTAAAGAGAAATGTTTCACACGGTTTCTTGAAAAGGTTTTAACTGATGATTAGGAAATGAGGGTCAAAAGGCCAATGGAATTGATAAAAAGTGGTAAATCCCTTACTAAAGTGATTTAAAAGACAAATCCTTTATTAAATCTTGAGATTTTTGAGTTTCTATTATCACCTATTTTCACCCTGCTCTTGCTATCTGTCATAAATACTGTAAGTTGTGGAGAACACGGTGATTCAGAAAAGGAGAGTGAATGAGGAAATGACTCATCCAGAAAAGTAAAACGGAAAGGCTTAAGTGCTCACTTTCTTCTGGGCAAAAAAAAAAAAAAAAAAAAAAAATATATATATATATATATATATATATATATATATATATATCCATCCTTTATGCTAATACAGCAATTGTATTTGATGGTGTGTCTTGAATTTCTTGTAATGAAAAACAGCTCCCCTTCCACTTTTGCATGCCCTTGACCTGCTGAAGTAATTTGTCAAGTAAGATTCCTTATGCTATGGATTTGTCTGATGGATTCCTTGATCTGGCACTTAGCCTCTTGAAACTTGAGTTKTTTTTTTTTTTTAACTAGAAAATCTCAAATGTTGGGCAGATACCCTCACATTAGACTGAAAGTAAAAAAACACAACAGCCATTATGTGAAACTGCTCAATAGTTTAAAAGAAGGTAACTGTTCTCAGAAATTGGATCATATGATTCGTCATTTGACAACCCCTGCAAAAGGAAGTGTCTTAAAATTTAATTATGATTTATATATTAATGAAGATAAGTCTCCTAATAACTTTTTTTTTGGAAAAAATGGCAGAAAATCTTAAAAATACAGTGGACAGAAATAAAAGTTTTGTATATTTCCAGTAATAATTTGTAACAAAAATCTGGCAGGTGAAATATGGACAATTTTCTTAAAAATATCATCAAAAGACAAAAAGATAATACAATATTAGCTGGCCGACATTCAGAAAATGTTGGGGGAGTCATGCATTTGGGGCCACTTCTTTTTTGTTTTCCCTACTACACATCCATCTTCCTTCACAATTGCCTGCCCTCTATACTTCAAGCTCCTCTATGTCAGGTGATGACAACAAACAGCTTTATAGACATGCTTTATCAGCTCCCAAGAAAGTAAAATGTCTATCCACAGTAAGAAAAAAATGTGTGAGAATAGTAGCACAACAGATAAGAGAAGTTGGAAGTATAATGTTAAAAAATATACTTATAGGAAACTGATCAATTAAAAGAGCTTGAGGAAACCACCAAAAGTTAAAAATAAGTATAAGTAATGAACCAATATTAGAGTTAAAGTGGAACCATAAAATAATCAACCTAAAAGAAATCTGAAATACGGAAAAAAGAAAATGCACATGGGCCAAGTGGGAAATAATAGCTACGTGACAGACTGTATTCCATTAATATTAATAATTACATTAAGTATAAATGGCCTAGGCATGCCAATTTATATTTTTTTAAAAAGTGCAGCATCCTTATCCTCAAGAGACTGTCAGATTTCATATATGTTTTCTATATGAAATTCACTTTAAAACAGTAAAGGTAAGAAAGTGGAAAAGGACATATTACACAAGAAGTAGGATTAATTAAGAGTGGTTATTTTAGTGGTTATTTTACACAGTAGACTTCTGAACAAGGAATATTACAGAGTATCAGTGGCTGGGGTTGTGGCTCAGTGGTAGAGCGCTTGCCTGGCAAATGTAAAAAAAAAAAAAATCCCTTCGGTAGAGAAGAACACAGCTTGAAAAGTGAAAAGAAAATGAAGAACAGGTTAAAAAGGAGAAGATATGTGTGGGTTAGAAATGGAGAACTTGAAAACTCAACCCAACTTTGACTGGATTTTCCACTTAATTCAATAGGTATTGGATGCATCTAGAACTCTTGTTTTTGGTAGTGGGGATAAAACCCAGGGGTGCTTAACCACTGAGCTACCTCCTCAGCCTTTTTATATTAGAGACAGGGCCTTGCTAAGTTGCTGAGGCTGGCTTTGAACTCTTGATCCTCCCTGCTCAGCCTCCCGAGCCACTGGGATTACAGGCGTGCACCACTGCTCCGATACATCAAGAACTCTTGACAGTATTACCTGGCATCCATTCCAAATGCATGAATCCACAAAAAAGCAACTCAAGCTTTAAGGGTTTCTTCCATACGTTTATTTTGCTTATTTATTTATATGTAGTGCTGAGGATCAAACATGGTAGACAAGGGCTCTACCACTGAGCCACAACCCTGGGCACACCCATCCCGAACTTTAAGTTATAGAGCAGAATCATCAAAAGCTTTCAGCTGTTCCTTGACTTGAATTTCTTCTTATGAACTATAGGTCACCAGGCCTGTGAAAGGAACTGTGTTAAGGTCAAGGAATTATTATATGTAAAAGAAATGTATAAAACTCTGAAATCATTTTGTTCAAGTATTCCATCACCTATTACCCTCTTCTTGATATCAGAAAAAACAACTGTTTTAGGTATATGGAAAGCAGTGAGACCAGGATTTTTATCAGATGATTTGGTGAAGGTTGGAATCAACCAGCAAATAAAAACATGTTCTGCTTTTGATTTTTCTTCTGGACAATAAAATTTTTCATACCTTTTACTATGAAACATTTTATTTTATTTTTTTTAAAGAGAGAGAGAGAGAATTTTTAATATTTATTTTTTAGTTCTCAGCGGACACAACATCTTTGTTGGTATGTGGTGCTGAGGATCGAACCCGGGCTGCACACATGCCAGGCGAGCGCGCTACCGCTTGAGCCACATCCCCAGCCCACTATGAAACATTTTAAACATACACAGAAGAGTGAAATATTCTGTAGCTCTAAATATTCACTGTACCTCTAAAATAGTGCTTCCAAGCCAAAATCATGAACCATGATGGAGCATCTCACAAATTATTTTGTAACAACTGTTCAATACCAAATCTGGTGGTTATTTAAAAACAGAGTAAACTCAGGCTGAGGCTGGGGTTGGGGCTCAGGCTCAGAGGCAGAGCACTTGCCTAGCATGTGTGACACACTGGGTTCCATTCTCAGCACCACATAAAAATAAACAAAGGCATTCTGTCCATCTATAATTACAAGAAAAAAAAAGTAAATTCAATATTTTTCACATAATGGGAACATTCTTCCCTTTTCTGCATTTTGATTTCAAGAACAGGAGAAGGATTTAGAGCTCCTGGGCCAGAAAACACATGTAAGCAGATGCTACTGGCCGGCTCATGGAGCAGTCAGTCACAACCCCTTTGCCCTGAGTGGCTCTTCTCTAATCCTGGCGGTGGATGGGGGGAATACATTCTTAGTATTCTGCAAATCCACAGGTTGTCATGGAACACAATTCTGAGCAATGAGACATAAACATAAGGCTTCTTCTATGAAAGACAGGGAAACACTGGCATAGGATATGAGGAGACTAAGGGAATCAATCAGATCAATGAATTGTAGAAACTGATAAAAAGTCAGGGTAAAACACAGAAAGATCTAGAAAGAGGGTATGACTTAACATTTTGCCACTCTGGGCTCCTCTATCACTTTTTGTTCAACTATTTAAGATCAAGTCTCTGGCACTGTTATTTCCTTTCAAATACTATATGTATCACATAAAAAAAAAAAAAACTTTTTTTGCAGGGTACAGTGGTGCATGCCTATAATCTCAGCTATTTGGGAAGCTGAAGCAGAAGGATCATGAGTTCAAGGCCAGTCTCCACAACTTAGCAGTCCTGAGGCTTATGAACATGTCTGTGAGGCTGTGGATATCAGTGGCTGTCCTGGAGTGAGAGCTAAGGCAACTGCAGAGGCTCCTGTCACTGCCTGTGCGGTCAGTGAAGGATATTCACATCCTAGAGTTGTTGAGCTACACAAAACAGAAGAGGGCCTTGGGTTCAATATTATGAGAGACAAGGAACAAAACAGTCCAATCTATGTACCTCGAAAAATTCCAGGTGGAAGAGCGGAAAGGCATGGTGGCCACAAACGAGGAGATCAGCTCCTTTCTGTTCATGGAGTGAGCATGGAAGGAGAATGTCATGAAAAAGCTGAAGAATTGCTGAAAGCAGCCCAAG